ATAATTCTTCCCTTTTATTAGGAAATCATATACCAATATTTCTTGGGGGGGGGGGAACACCTTCCCAAATCCCACATTAAAAATGACTGTTTTATTTTCATATCAGTATTTTATCCTCCAATATCTGCACTAATAAAAGAGAAATATGTAAACTGGCCATCACTCCACAATACCTACTAACCAATCAGGACGAGTATGCAGATTAGCACAGCAAAGATGGTGGGTTAATTTGCTATGCAGGCACGGAGCAAAGACTGAAGGTTCTGGCTGGAGCGAAGACTGATGACTGTTTTATTTTCATATCAGTATTTTATCCTCCAATATCTGCACTAATAAAAGAGAAATATGTAAACTGGCCATCACTCCACAATACCTACTAACCAATCAGGACGAGTATGCAGATTAGCACAGCAAAGATGGTGGGTTAATTTGCTATGCAGGCACGGAGCAAAGACTGAAGGCTCTGGCCGGAGCGAAGACTAAGGACAACTGAAGACTGAAGAGGCTTGGCTTCTCTGCTGCGGCTGGACCAAAGGCCTGGGTCCCAGGTGCTGGAGGAATACTGGTGCCAGCAGCCAGGGGAAGGAAGGTCTCCTGTGCAAATCTTCGTGCAATGGGCCTCTAGTTTGTTTATAACGCATGAACATTTTTGTATTATTGCAGCTACAATGAATTTTTGTGTATATGCAGCTGAATGCATATTTTTCATTTTTTCTATTTTAAAATGAAAGGAACTTAAGACTTCATAATTATCATTTTAGTGGCTGTAGAGTGTTCCATTCAATGACATTAATTTAGAGATTTATAAAAGAATATGGCTAATTCTACTAAAACCATGGGAAGAAAAGAAAACCTACAAAGTTTTTCTTAAAATCCACCTTCCTTTACCATAACAAGATCATTTTAAAGAGTTAAAAAAGCACAGAAGCAAATGAGCCTATTAATTTTGCCTTCTGGAGTTTAAATATAGATAAACCAATTTCAATATGTTGCTTCTTCAGCTTCATATACTCACATTTCAACCCTGGAGAGCAAATGGAAAATCTGAATGATATCTTAAGAACACGGTTAAAGGGTTAGGCTGGAGGGAGATGTTTATTTTGTTGGTCCTTGAAATACAAGGACACTCTTCATAGCTATACTAGCAAACTGAAGACCAATAGATCACCTTGATGCATTGTTTTGAATCTTCAATGACAGATAATGAAGTCAAGTACAGGATGCTTTTATGCATTGCCATTAAATCTTAAACTGAGACCAAAAAGTTCTAAAGTATCTGAGTTTTTTGTTTGTTTTTTTTTTTGCATTCTTGAATGATTTCATATCTTCCAAGTTTTGTTTACAAGTCATCACAAATATCCTTTAGTACAAAGGGGGCTGAAATGGCTAACACCTGCTTCAGCTGACATGCTCTCACTTGGGTAAGCCCGAGACTGTCAAGATGAAAAAGAGCATTTTCTGGAGCTATAGAGTTTTCGGTTTCCACAGGAAACATGACTAGAAGCAAAAGGTGAACTCATGATTGAGCCAAGGACATTTTAATGCATATATATGTGTATATATATATATATAAAATTGATTTTTTACAGAGGAAGGGAGAGGGATAGAGTTAGAAACATCAATCAGCTGCCTCCTGCACACTTCCTACTGGGGATGTGCCTGCAACCAAGGTACATGCCCTTGACCGGAATCAAACCTGGGACCCTTCAGTCCACAGGCTGATGCTCTATCCACTGAGCCAAACCAGTTAAGGCCATTTTAACTCTTTGATCTAACAAACTGCTGTGCTGATGTTAGTACTTTAGCTCAGAAAAGCTAAAAGTCTCTTGCTTTCAACAAATATGTCTCTAATTTGGTAACATCAAAAGTGATTGATCAGGCACGGGGAAAGGGGCAGGGTAGAAGGTGTCAATGGAGGAAAAAAGGTGACATATGTAATACTTTTAAAGTACATATATTTTTATTGATTTCAGAGAGGAAGGGAGAGATAGAAACATCAATAACAAGAAAGAATCACTGATTGGCTGCCTCCTGCATGCCCCACAGTGGGGATGAAGCCCACAACCCAGCACCTGCCCTGACGGGTAATCGAACCATGACCTCCTGGTTCATAGTGCAACACTCAACCACTGAGCCATGCCAGCAGGCTGTAATACTTTCAACAATAAAGATTTAATTTAAAAAAGTGATTGATCAGGAAGCCTAAGATGCTAGGGCTGCTGAACTCGTGCAATTTAATTCAGTAAATATATAGATCTCTTACTTGGTGCAGGGCATGAAATCCTTATTTAAAGGCTTATCTTCTCTCCTGTGTTAAGACTAGCCTTATCGCTCTGCATGGATCTTGCTGGCAGGTTCCTGTATGTCCTGTCTAGTGAGAAGCTATTTTTGTTTTCACTCCAGGTTGTGGGAATGGTAGCAATGTCACGTCTATCCAGCCAACAAGGTATTTTCTGGGACTTGGGGCCTCTCTGCGGTGGGGGAGAGGAGGAATAGGGAAAAGGGAGACGTGGGCCCCTGAATCACTCGTAGACCGCGAGTGCCTTCTACATACCGCATGCTCGTTTACCCCGTGGCTGATAATCACAACCATCGGATGGAAGAGGAGGCGTTGAGCTGCATTTTACAGGTAAGGGAACTGGCCAGGGACCTGTGAAAGGTCACGGAGGCGGTGGTGGATCTGGGATCTGAGACTCTAGGTCCTCACAGGCTTCCCACCGCAACGCACAGGGACCCAGTGGAATTTCGGGTCCAGAGCAGACCATCCCGCACCTTCCACTCCCACATTTTTACAAGATGAAATCTGTCTAGAATGGACATTTAATAAAGTCGCAAAGGGGAAGCAATTCATAGCCCGAGAGGTGAGTCTGTGCGGTAAGATTCCACCATTTTTTTTTAAAGTTTTTTTTTTGTCTTCACGAGGAGCCCCTAAGGTTATGTCAGCACTAACGTTGCTGCCTGTCTTCCCGAGTGCTTGCCCGGCACACAGAGACCTGTTTCCTGCACCAGAAGACAACGTGGACGGCCAGCCCAGTTCTGCCTCAAATAATGACCGTGAAGATCAAACGAGGCCCTTGGTAAACCGAGGCCCTTCACAAACTTGCAGGGTAGCGGACATCTTCCCCAGGAACCCGGGGACTGGGCAGCAGCGGATGAAAAAAAATCCCCGGTGACTCGAGGTGCAGGGGGGTGGTAACAGCGTTGGATAACCGGACCTCGTGGATACAACCTCCAAGTGCACGCTGACCAGCAGGTCTGGCCCCCCGGGGACTTGGCTCTTTGTGAAGCTGAATTAAAAGGGACACGAGGTGCAACATGCCATTCAGATGAACGCAATCTCTACTGTGAGCCCTGCCCAAATGTTGATGGCATTAGGACAGAACACAAAGACCCAGAGAAAAGGCCAGGGACCCGGCCTCGGTCGGGGCACACGGGTGAGGACAGACTCGGGACCTCCCCGGGGATGGCTCCGCTTCGGGACATTCTCGTTGGCAACGTTCCAGCCCGAGCGCCCGGGCTGCCCTGCGTGGACCGGAGGCGCGCGAGGCCAGGCGAGCGCACGCGCACTCACGTGTACACACACTGGCGCG